ATGTAGACTTGTTGCAGTTCATTAAATATAAGCTCTTTTTCTTGCAATTCTTGAAAAATGCTCTTCATACAGTTTAAATGAACTAACATATCTCCATTCCTCTGAAGATGCGTTCGAAAAAGCTTCCGTGTAAGATTTATATGTGCTCCTACACTGTCCCGAACATAAATCTTCCTGAGGTTCTCCCAGCAGTTTGCAGCATTTTCTTCTCCACGAATATGGACAAGCTGCTGATCACAGAGAGTCAGTCCTATGATGCATAAAGCCTGCTCATTTTTCAGTTTAAAGTCTTGTAACTTTTCGTTATCATCATCATCAGCATGATCCCAGCTACTCACATCTGGTGGGTTTGCTATAATGTCCCACAAACCTTCTCTGCGTAGAAGTAAACTACATTTCATTGACCATGAAACATAGTTTGTTCCATCCAGCCTGGATATCATGGACAGTTGTGACAAATTTACTTGTGCCATTACTCTTCAGATATTTTGACTATTTTAAACTAATTAAAACAGTTTGTTTTTACAGTAATGTGCAACTCACACCAACTCTCTCTGCTATATCCTGGTTAGTTAGACTATGCTGCTGGGCCCATAACCAATGTTAGTGTTTGGGGATTAACCCCTAGCAGAGTATTGCAGCAGTAGTCAAGCCAGGCAACCAAACGAGAGTGGAAGGGCCCCAGAGTATACACACACTGAACACAAACACTGTTTGTAGTTTAAATAGTTTTTAATCCATTTAGAGTTTAAAGCATTGTCATTCAGTCCATTTGTCATTCACTATATTTCCATCCAGTAAGACTCACTATTACAGTCCAAGTTAAGAGTCCTTACAATATCTTTATCAGCCGATAAAGATATCTTCTCCTCCTCCGGTGCCTCTCTCCAGAGAAACAAACGCTGGATATTCAGCAAGACGCTCAAACAGTAGAACAGTTGAATTCCGCAGTAAATCAGCAAACAGTAGCAGACAGGATCATCTCGGTCACAGGCACAGTACAAACAGTATTCACAGTTAGTCACAGTAAGTTTTCCAGCTTCTAATGCTTCCTTATATTGTAACTTCTAACCGCACCCTTAATCGGCTAATAGCCTGCAACATTGTGCTTAAAGTGATAAGCACTTAAACCATGATATCTAAGTTTTATATATTTATTCACCCAAACCATATTTGGTATCAATGTTATACCTAACACCCCTGATCTATAGAGCAACAGTCAATGACCATGAAGAAATGGCAACTGAGGTGGTAGGTGATAGAAAGCTGCTGACATGAGGTTAAAAAAAAAAAAGCTTGGATAAGGAGTTGGTCAGAAGATCCCAATTAATGTACAGAACTACTACCTGTAGAATGTTTTCTAATCTGGATGCTGTACCTAGACAGTTTGTAGTGATGTGAGAGAAAGTTGGTAAGCCAAGTAATAGTGTTTTTATAGGTTAAGAAAAACTCTATAATCCTGAAAGTACAATGAAGGTACTATAATTCAGGGCTGTTAAACTTGCGGGCTGTGGGCCGGACGTGTCACATAATAGCCCTGCCAGTTTAGCGAAGGGGAAAAAAGCCCCAATGATGCCATTGTGACAATGCGAGTTTGACACCCTTGCTATAATTGAAAGGTCTTGTCTACATGTTTCTGCAGTTCTTTAAGCTTCTTCATTTCTGTAATTTTGGCTTTTCAAAATAGACTTGTTCCCTGAAAAACAAGAATTTATCCCACTAAGCATAAGCCCACAATTTATGTCCATAAGGCAGACATTACACATTTTTATCTTGGACACTGCAAAGAAATTAAAGCTTTTCATATAAATGAAAGTGAATACAATGGAGGAAGCAATATGTTCTGAATGTGTTTTAGTTGCTCTTTAATAATGCACTCCAAATGTGTTGGCTGAAGCAGTTCACTGTCCTTCAATAACATAAAAAGCACTCTGATTCAAGTAGAGCATTAATTCAAAATTCCATGCAGGAAAGAAAATTAAATGAAAAACCATCCCTTATAACGGTAATATTTTTTGTGGCTTAAAAATAAAATTAGCACACTCTTACCAACTCTTGAGTATTCTGTGTTAATGGCAGAAATGTAGCTTCCAGAATAGAAACTTGGTCAGCACTCAGTTTTTGCCATAGACTAATCAGCAGGATTACCAGCTGGGTGGCACTTTTTAATTTTGTGAATGCCTGGAACATAATGGCTTGGTTTTCTTCAGCTGCATCTGCTAGAGCTATTACCTACAAAAATTATAAACTTCTGTTAGGTAGCGTTCCTGAATACTGAACACTAACACTGCATATGGCTAATAATTAGTTTTCTTAAGAAAAATCTGATGAACTTTCATTTTTTTAAAAAATCTTAAAATCTTAAAATCCACATGGCAGTCAATTAACATTTCATTGCAATCAACAGAATAGAATCTGTAGAATTTCTATATTATTGAAGCTGATTCTCAGTATAAAATATAATAGAATAGCCCTTAATAAACTATAAGCATTCATTTAAATACCACTTGTTATTTCTATATAAAGTCTGTTACCAATTTTTTAAAAAAACATATATCCTCACAAACATATATTAATTTATGTAAACTATCACATTACTTGGTTTTATTAATACACATATGTTGATGGTACAAGTACAGTATAACTACTGGCACACCAAACTCTGAAAGGAAATTGAAGGTGTACTGAATGGCAATGCTACATTTAAAAAAATAAATTCACATAATACTTTGTCCTAATATTCTAATATCAGTGGAAAAACGTAATTAGAAATATTCTAAATAAATGAGTTTAAAAAAAATCAAAGATTTCTTTTTATAAACACATTGTTTATATTACATAAATCTAGACATGGGATTCTCCAAGCAGTTCAAAAACTAACTAGCTCAATTTTACAGATCAAGGGTATAAAGTTCTGTCAGCAGTGAATTTAGGGATTCTTCATGAACCAGATGTTATAGCAAATAGCATGAATTAATCTTTCCTTATATTTCATAAAACTATTGACAAAATAATTGCATGTGAAAGCTAATGAAAATTTGTGCAGTAAGGTTAATATTATATTGATCCAATTTTTCTTTTTAAAATTGCAACAGGAAAAATATAAAAGTAAGTTGATTTGCATTAAAAGCAGAATAGAATAGAATAGAATAGAATACCTTTATTGTCATTGCATTCTACAAATACAAGGAAATTTGAAAGCTACTCCAGCACAGTGCCCCAAACACCACATCACAATCACACTACGGAGTATTTAAAAATTAAAATAATTAAAATAATAATAATAATTAAAAACCTAGTTTAAAACCCATCTAAAACATATAGTAAGTTAAAACTTCCGGTTTGTCGGCTTCGCAAGCGGCGGGGATTCGCGATACTACGCGATCCCTGCTGCGCTAGCCGTTTTTGGTGCTCCAACCCGGACGGGTTTGGAGCTAAGGCTGCCCTGCAGGGGTGGCTGAAGATAAGGGGGATCCGGAGTGAGGTTTGGGGGTGCTGCAGACCCCCTTCCCAGCCGGCAGAACCCCCTTTTCCCAAGACGGTGCAGCGGCGGTCCGTAATGGCCGCCACAAAGAAGCTGGCAGCCGGGTAAGAATGCGCAGGAGGAAGTGGAGAAAGCTTTTGAAAAGAGAAAGTTTTTCTTGGTTCCCGGGACTCTGAGATATATTTAACAAAATTCCTGGAAATTATGGCTTTCTGAATGATACCTTCTAGAAGAGAAAATAAGCGGCAATTTGGTGGTGCTAAAAGGAAAGTTTACTCTCCTTCCCTACGGAATTAATAATTGGATATTAAGAAACCTATTTTTTTTAGGTAAAAACTGGCTTTAAGTGATAAGTGAGAAGGGAGAGGACTAAAAAAATATTTGTATGTTAAGACTTTGTTGGAGGAGATGCCTTAAGGATTTGAAGACTGAAATATATTGCAATAAGACTTTAAGAAACAGATTTGGACTTTCTTTTTTTTCTGATTGATACTACCCCAGGAAGAGAAAGTGAGAACTTTGCCTTGGCTTGGACTGATTGATAACTTTTTTTTTTTTTTTTGAAATATCTTGGTTGCTGCAAGAAGAAAGAAGGGGAAAAGAAAAGAAAAGATTTATAATGGCTTTTTCTGTTGAGGAACTGAGAAAAGAATATGAGCAAAAAAAAAATGGTAAAGATGGTTTGAAAGAAGCCTTCCTTTTCTTAGAAATGGCGCTTGCTAACTATCAACAAACATTACAACAGATGAAGACAGCAGAAGAAGAAGGAGAGGAAGAAGCCATTTTTAATGAATTTCAGAATTTAACCAAGAAAGAAGGAAGAGGGAAAGGAAGAGAAATGAAGGACTTAAGATTTAAAAAAACACTTAAGAAGGGGAAAAATAAGGTGCAAAATCAATATAATGATAGTAAACAAAAGGAAAAAGGAACACAACAGAGAAGGGAAGCCAGTAAGGCAGAGGCTAGAAGAAGGGGGGGTAGAAAGGTTTGGTGGGGAAAGAAAGGAAGGAAAAAGGTGGAGAAAAGCCACAAAGTTTTGAAATTAGATGGGAAAAAAGGAATCTTTTTTAGGGATAAAGGGTAAAGTATAAATTCTTCAAAAAAGATTTTGCAAGGTACATAAGATGATATTGTAGCATTGTATTAGAAATAGAAAATTAAAATGGTTTAAGAGTTGATAAGAGATTAAAATGTTGAAATGTTTAGTAATGATTGATTTTAAAATTTAATAATATTAAAGGGAAGGTTTAGAATATTGAGTTTTAATTAAAGAGTTTAATAAGATTATGGTATTGATGTTATTATAAAATTTTTATTATAGCATTTGTTTTTGGAAAAGGCAATGGGAATGTTATAAGGTTTAATATTTAGATCTACTGCTTACCTATGTATTTAATTATTTTGGATTTACTATTTAGATAGAACGTACCAAGCAGAATCGGATTGGGTATTGGGTGTTATTTTAAATGTTAATTTGATTAATTTATGGGGGAGATAGAAAGGCATCATACTCTGATTAGTGATTTCAGGAGAAATTCTTTTTTTTATTATAAGGAACGAGACAAAGGGACAATAAAGAATGGACAAAAGATACAAATATAATGACTCAAATTAAGATGGATTAATTAAGATAGAATTAAGAAGAGTGAAATGTGTGGAGAAGCTAATACAGAAGACTTAGAATGGTAAATAAAATAAGTAATGATATGTAAGATGAGCATGAATATAATTGAAGTCCATGAAGAGAGAGATATCTGGGGCCAAGTTACTTTCCTAAAAGATTTTTTTTTTTTATGTCTTGTGTCTTGTGTGTTGTGTGTTTATGTTTCTGGGAGAATTAATAAAACCTTGCAAAAATATAGAATGAGAATAATGGTAACCAAGTCAGAAAGAAATAGATGAAATAATAATATTGAAATTGAATAAGAGTAAAGAGAAGTAAAGAGAAATTGGATAAGAGGTTTATGTATGCTTATATGGAAATGGTTTAAATTAGAATTATAGGTTTTATCTGACTTGTTAAATTTATAATGGAAAAAGGTTTAAGTATGTAATGGTTAATGATGATTTGTTTGTTTCTGAAAAATTAATAAAACTTGTTTTTAAAAAAATAAAAATAAAAAATAAAATAAAACATATAGTAAGTTAGATAGCTTAAAAATGCCACTATATACATATGGCTAAATCACATATGCATTGTTTGATTCAATACAATTATTGCCTTGGAAAAGAATTAGAGAGGCATCATTTCATCTTAGGTTCCAAAATGTGGTGGAAGACAAAAAGGAAGATTTACGTGCAATTATGACGAATTTGATAGCGACGGCTTTACAGAAACCCAAACTGGAAATTGAAAATGATGTAGACGAGGTCTACAGAGTATATACACACTATGCGAGGAGACAGAGACTAACCCGAGAGGTTCATATTCGATTTGGAAGAAGATAACACGAGACCTGCTCTATAGTAAGACCAGAGATGAACCACTTGTATACAAAGATCATGAAGTGGTTACACTGAAACAAATACCTAGGAGAGTCAGAGAGCAGAGAAGGGGCTACCAATTTTTATCAACTCAGCTTATTAGAAATGGTATTCCATTTAGGTGGCTCACCCCAGAGGGGCTTTTAGTTTCGTGGCAGGACAAAAAATAAAAAATTGATACAATTGAAAAAGCACAGGAACTTCGTGAATGACACCTAGGACCCAAGGAAGAACAAGAAAGTAGAGACGACCTAAATACAAGAAGCCAAGAGGAACAACTCTCTGGAGAAAAAGAATCTGATTCACTCTCTGAACCCCAAAATCTTAGAGAAGAAGGGGAAGGCAACAGACTAAGAAAAAGAGAGCCTAGAACAAGAAATGAAACAAGAAATGCCTCACACAGTCAGTGACACTGATAGAGAAATCAGTTTATTTTCAGTCAATATCAATGGTTTAAATCTATCATCAAAAAGAAAAGATATTTGAGAAACTTAAAAAACAAAATGCTGACATAACTTGAATCCAAGAAGTGCATATTCCAGACAATCAAGCAGACCTCTTAAAGAATATAAATTTGGGTAGAATGTACTTGGCACTTGCAAACACACAAAAAAGGGGGTACTGTAGTATACGTAAAAGATTGGTTGCAACATAAAAAAATATACAAAGATCAAGAAGGGAGAATGCTCTTTATAGAAATAAATGTAAATCAGAAAAAGATGTTATTTGTCACAATATATGCCCCGAATACAAACCAAAAAGACTTTTATAATAGGCTTCACCATAAGATAATAGAATTTGAGTATGCTAATGTATGCATTGTAGAAGACTATAATGCAGTGGTCCCCAACCTTTTTTGTACCAGGGACCGGTTTCAAGCAGAAAATTTTTGCAAGGGCCGGGGGGGGGGGGGGGGGGGGAGCGGGGGGGGGGGCTTTTCCTGTTGCCGCAGCTATTCCGAAGCGCCCGTTTCACCCCCACCCCCACCCCGCCCGCCCGCCCGCGCGCGCTTCAATCCACAGTGTCCCGTTCTGCCTGCCTGCCTGCCTTAGTTTCTGGTTGTTTGGGAGCAGCTTCGGCTGAGAATAATAACTATTCGCCTCTTTTACTCAGCCGAAGCTGTTCCGATTCAACCATTAACGAAGGCAGGCAGGCAGGCAGGCAGGCAGAACGGAGCACTGGGTTGAACCCCGCGCACGCGCGCGGGCGGGCGAGCGGGCGGGCGGGGTGGGGGTGGGGGAGAAACGGGCACTTCGGAGGCGCT